CAGTCCTAAGTCAGAAGCCTGTAATTCCGTGGTAATCATGGTAATTGGTTGTCATATTGGTTTTTTGTTTATTATTTAAGCATAAATCAGGCCGTTAATCTTTTCTTTATATTGTTTTACGTTTTGTCATACCGATGAATTGTATAGCTTATAATATGCTATGGCTCTTGCACTTGATGCTGTGTATAAACCGGTTTAATAAAGTTAGGAGTTTTTCCTGTAGTGATTTTTATTACACATTACTGTGTTGAAGTTCTGTATATCCACTAATCGAGTTGTAAAAGGGGAGGTTTGAGTTTTCATGGAAACTAACTAAGCCTTACAACAGAAAATGTGTCTGACACAAATCAAATGGTTGTATTTCTGTATTGAAATGTTTTATGTTTTCTAGTTTGTTTTGTATCGATTTGTATTTTCTTGTTTGTTTTGCTTTTGTTTTATGCGTTTTGTTTTGTTTATTATTTGTATTTGTTATGTTCTATTGATATTTATTTAGTAGAAACGAAATTTGTGAACTGTATCTTGGCTTTTTAATATATGCAGAACTTTTATATACTAGGGATGACTTAATGCTTGACATATTAAACATACTCTTGCAAATATCTATTGTTGAACTTGAATGGTAAATTGTGAATTTATTTCGTTTGGAAGATGTGGCTATTGTTTATATATGATAGCTGTTGATAAAATGCAACAACTATAAATATTTGTTTAAAATCAACCAATAAAATTATTTAATCCTGTAAAATCACTGTCAAATTATATCACGGATTGGCTTTTAAAAACCTTTCAGCAGTAAACGATTATTACTAGAATTAAAACCTTCAAAGTGAGTTTTTAAAAATCTAGACGATACGTCCGAGCAAAGCGTCTTTTGATATGTTGAATAATATATAAGTTTGAAATTAGAACTATACCACATCATAGCGTAGACAATCAGGATAGTGTTGTCTACGAGAATTTGCATTCAATCATAACTAGTAGTACCAAGTGATGGCTATACAAAATGACTAAAAAATAAATCTAATTCGATCCATCGTAATAACATATCGGAAACGTATTTCTGGTCAGTAGTGATTGAAACTAAGTTAGTTTAATTTTGGTTAAAATAAACCTATTGATGGCTATATTTCACCGTGTACAACGCGTTTTTTATTAGTAAGTTTTATTTTTGATCAGGATAACAATGTTGTGTCTCCTCTTGTGGTATTTGTCAACATTGTCATAGATTCATGAATATGTCATTATAAGTGCTCTAGTATCACTGCTCTTCAAATCTTTAGTTGAAAAAAAACAAAAATACCGAGGAACTAAAAAGTAGTGCCTTATTAAAAAAAATGTCTGTGCAGTTATATTGGACATGTTTCAATTTTATAACAAGTGACTGCGCTTAACCATTTGTGCTGATTTGGACCATAGAATAAAGGTGTAAAAACTATGGAATTATTCAATGTATGCAAATGATTTTTTACATCAAGAAGCCGCATCTCAAAAGGCTTTACGGAGCGTGCTAAATTACGGAAAAAATTTATCTACACAGACTACAAGGACAATATTGTATTTAATTGCAGTAACGATTTCTATGCTTTTAAACAAAAATAAAAGACTTCTGATGTGGATTCGTTTTATTTTGTACACAGACCATGATAACAATCACCATCGATAATAAATACCCTGCAAAATAAATACAACAATACGATTCAGGATTATCAAGTTAATAATTAAGTATGTTTCTATCCATGTAAAGTGACAAAAAAATGTTTACTTATACGTTATACGAATATTATTAGATCATCACTACTCTCCTATTGGTGAGCTTATCACACAAAGCCTATTACATATGTACTTAATGACTCATATTGCATGAACAAGTCTAATATACGAATAATTTTCATAAAGTATTTATACATTCCTGGCTTACCAATATTTAGACTTAAGCGTTCCTGATGAGGGGAAACCCGGAAACTGGCTTTGGACGCACGAAATGTATAATGATTAATTTTCACTTGCAAGCATTTATCACCAATTTTGAAAACGGAAGATCGTTACTGGAAGTCATTAAATAATGTGCAGTTCTGATATTAAATAGTTGAGCTGATGAACATACGGTAGTTAGTTGTGAAAAATATAGATGTTTTTATTGATAATACAGAATTAGTATGTAAACAAGCAGAAGTAAGTAACAAACGCTGTCAGAGGTCATATCAATATATCTTATTCGAGGTGAAAAGCTTCAAAATAACATGAAAGTTGCAAACTTAATAGGCGTCGTCATTGCTCAACAGATGTTATGCAATAATAGTATAAATCGAAATGAACATAATATTCATATGATGAAGACATAATCTTTCAATCAGTTTAATTGAAGTCTGGAGCTGGCATGTCAGTTAACTGCTAGTAGTCTGTTGTTATTTATGTATTATTGTCATTTTGTTTATTTTCTTTGGTTACATCTTCTGACATCAGACTCGGACTACTCTTGAACTGAATTTTAATGTGCGTATTGTTATGCGTTTACTTTTCTACATTGGTTAGAGGTATAGGGGGAGGGTTGATTTCTCATAAACATGTTTAACCCCGCCGCATTTTTGCGCCTGTCCCAAGTCAGGAGCGTCTAGCCTTTGTTAGTCTTGTATTATTTTTAATTTTAGTTTCTTGTGTACAATTTGGAGTTTAGTATGGCGTTCATTATCACTGAACTAGTATATATATTTGTTTAGGGGCCAGCTGAAGGACGCCTCCGGGTGCGGGAATTTATCGCTGCATTGAAGACCTGTTGGTGACCTTCTGCTGTTGTCTGTACTATGGTCGGGTTGTTGTCTCTTTGACACATTCCCCATTTCCATTCTCAATTTTATTATAAATTTTGGCAATAATCAAAACGTCAGTATGCATGAGTAAGGTTCAAACTCCTTCAGACAAATTATAACCCAGCCTTTTGGGATTATTCTTTTATTTCCAATTTTATTTGATATAGATCCTTATATTAATTCTTAACTTTACATCAGGGTTATTGCTTCCACTACATAAAATAGGTAACTGTTAATGATATGATAGTAATTTCGAGGTTGCGATTCGAACCCAACAAAAACATCTGATTTTCTTTGATTTCAGTCAATTTACCTAGTTTACTATTTTACTGTAGGCCAATATATTTGAAAATCCAACTTTTCGTCAAAAATAAGCTGATAAAAACAAATAGGACCAAAAGTATAGCCAACCCCGCACAAGAAATCAGATCTATTAATGAAGGGTGCACATTCCTTATTTCTAAAATAGCAAAAATTAATAAAATTAATATCCGTATCTTACTGCCAATATCGAAGTACTGGCTATTGTACTGTTGGTACTCTCAATAGAGGTGTCAACCCTGTGGTAATAATAACATAAACGGCCTCAATTTACTGCATCAGAAGCGCTTTGCGACAATCTATGTTTCTTCTGTGATGCTCGATGTTAAAATATTTGAAAATCGAAACTATATTGAAATGTTTTAAAGCTGATAACAATAGAAACAATACCTGACTTTAGAAAAACAATAATTTTACAAAAGGTCAAAGTAAATAGACAAGTATAACACAATTGATCATCAACAATACGGCAAACATGATGAAATATGAAGATGTACAAAAAACCAGACAGATGACAGTTCCAATTTGCAATGTCATAAACTCATCATAGATACTAGCATTAAAATTATGTACGCCAGACGTTTCTGTCCACAAAAGACTCATCAGTGACGCCCGAATCAATAAATTATGCTGAAGAGCATTGGGAACTCACAATTCTGAAAGGTTTTGCCAAATACAGCTACGGTAATCTATTCCCGGGGTAGAAAATCCTTAATACTTCGGAAAATTCAAAGATTTATAACCAGTTAATGTATACTTATGATCATATCAATGTCAACACAGAAGTGCTGAATACTGGGCTTTTAGAGATCTAGCTGGTATCGCCCCTTTTTGACGCAATTACAGCTTTTTATCTTCGACGCATTTATTATTTTAGTTTATAGATCAATCGGGGTGTCATTGTCTTGTCTTCAAGTTAAGCCCATAAAAGCTCGACAAGCGATACATCTGGTCGCAATGGTAGCCCTGGAAGAACAATAACTAGATGCTGTTCAAAAAGTTAATGCATATGCGAGCCACGTGACGTCTGGTATTGTCTTGCTGCTAAAAAAAAGTTCCAGGGTCACGCTGGGTGTACTTTCCACAGCTTCAGGGCAATCACATACTAGATGAATTGACGGGACATGACAATACTGACATATGTGGTGTACAGCTGTATTACTGATTTGCATGATGTTGGTCTTAAACGACACGGCGGTTACCATGTATGCGTTTTACTATTTCGAAACCAGCTCATGATGCAGCACAAGGCAAAATCTCTTTCAGGAAACCTTGGTAAAATTGCATTACAAAAGTAATTGAAAAACTGTTTGCTGAAGAAAACGTTCGATATTCCGCTTTGTGTTTCGTTTTGTTTTGTTTAGTGAATATACCTGATTTTACTTACATTAGAGGTGTCGAAAGACTTTCGGGAAATATAACACACGATTAAAAAACGACCAATGGCGCTTTGGCATGTGTCAGTATTTTCAATTGACGACACAGTAAAAATTAAATTAGGTAGAATTGAAAAAAAAACACTTCATTGGTTCATAAAAGAAAATTTCTCATGTTAACGCATTTGTAGAACTTTTTATTAAATCAGAGACAGGTGAACAAATTGTACAAGTACGTGATGTCGGGATGATGTACATGTAACGATTTATCAAATAATCTAAATGCTTTCTTTGATAATTGTCGTTAAAATATGAGTCATATGGATAATGTTGACATTTAAAGCACCCATAACCTACGAGTCAATGATTGAATTAAAATTCATTTGAAATACAAAAACCTAAATTGATAACAAGAAAATCAAAAGAAAAACAAATTGCCGAGAGGAGATTATTCATGGATTACGGATACAGTATGACCTTGATGGGGTGTATATATTAAAAGGAATCATCTAGAAATATCATTTGTGGACAGGTCTTACTACATTTAAAAGGTAAGTTACATCATCTGCGTGCAATATATATTTATTCTAATATTTCAATTTCATTAAAAACAGGTCTTCAACTATGATAAGAAGTTATTAAACCTAAAAAGAAAAACAAAGATTTATTTTCGACTTGTGAGTTTGAATATCTTTTTTGGTACCTTTCTTCTCTCTTTTAAAATTCCTTAAATTGAAACAATTATGTAAAATTCAGAAAAATTATAAATATATAGAGAAAATGATTTTTCGATAACATAATCTCATAGCAGCGCAAAAAAAATAAACGGTACCAATTTTAATGCACCAGATGCGCATTACGACAATAAATATTATTCAGTGATGCGCGTGGCCATAATGTTGGAATATCCAAAATCTAATGCAAATGTTGTGTTTAGAGAAAGATCTGCTTATCCTTGCAGAGCCCCTAGCGGGGTTTGTTTATCCATATCTTTTGTCGTCTAATATGTAATGGTTTTTGGACTTTTTGGCCTATTTCTGTTTTCGATACTTTTTCATTGGTGGCTTTATCAGTTTGTCTTTAACTTGTTAGTTTTTTTTTCCATTTCTTCCTGAAAATTACCGCCACTCTTTTAATGTATGTTTAATATGTTTGAAAAAAGCCATTCTTACATATATAAACATATACATTCAGCAAATTTAATTCAAAGAATAAATCATGAAAATGAATTTAAATGTTAGCGTAAGTTTTTCAAAGGACTTATAAACAATTTCTTCATATAATCAAAATGATTACATATACAATATATCTCGCAAAAGAAATTAAAAGCATCTCAGTAGGTCAACTCTGTGTTTGCCTATTTCTTTAAAATGTCATGTATTTTACTTAATTTTGGTATCACTTTTTTTTAATTAAAGGAAACGATAGACATACTCTTCCAGCAGTGCAACTCCAATACATATACAACTGTGATCTGCATCTGTTACCATGAAACATTTATTGAGTTGTCTAATCATTTTTGTGACTGTTTATGACATCGATGCATCATTATGGTAAGTTAAATTTTTCGTGATAAACAAATATGTTGACCTTGACTCCTCCATCTTACAAGAGGGACATGTATTCGGTTTTGCGAAATTTAAATACGCACCCATGTCCAATCGGAAAAGGCATTTTGAAGCAGATGATGCGCGTATGAATTATACCTTGGTCTTTGGAAGTAAAACAACTCTTTCAATTATGTGATTGGTATTAAGATGACATCTTGAATGGTTAAATATCAAAGTCCATACCAGTTTTACAGGACGCTTTTTACTGATTTGCTGTTTAATTGAGGCAGCAGCAGTTTACTTTTGATACACTTCCCTTTTTTAAATTTATTTTGGAGTTCGATGTTAAGATCTCGTAAATAGATTAAGAAGAGACAAATCAAAATAAAAACCTGAAGGAATCACATGAACTATAAAAGGAGCAAGGCTGGTTGCATCGACAGGGTAAGCGTCTCCTGTTATGCATGCATCACGAATCCACGTGTGTTTTTGTCTTGAGTATTCATGAGGTACAACAATATATTTACTACTTGACATTAAACCAGCAATGATCATAATGAACTTGTTTTTAAATGTTATTTTCTAATACTGGTTTGACAAGATAATTTGAAATAACAACTTGCTGAAACCAAAATTACTTATTATTATTGAAGTTTTTAAAAATATTACTTTGTTAAAAGGTCTTAACATGTTTTAGTTATATATACGGCGATAATAGATCTGTAGTGGATATTTTGGTTTTATGAACTTTTACAAATATGCATTTAGGATTAGGGACACATATTACGTTTTTTTTTTATACTTAGTAGTCTTAGTGTGGCATGTCATATATTGCATGTGACTTCTTATTTCAGTGCTGAGCGACAAGGCAACCAAAACAAAAACGTAAAAAATCCTAAAGTGAAAATCCCTAAGCTGGTGAAATAGTGTAAATGTTTTGGGTTTTCTTTTACACATAACTGATAGAGAACTTGTTTGTAACAAATGTTATTTTACGGAATGAATTAATGTGTTAACTCTGTCCTTTGCTCACATACTTTATTTATTTTTAGAATGAATCGTCCGCGTTAACATATTGATATATATTTTTTTTTTTCTTCAAAATAACCTCTATAAATCGCTATATTTTCTATTTGGCAATGGAAATAATTAGTTTATATGTTGTTTGAGAACTTTGACATGCAAATATGTCTTTCTGTTATAAGTGCATATCTTTTTTTTGTTTCTCGTCTCCCTTATTTATCTTGCACCATCAATCATTGTTGCAAGTGAAAACAATCAAGATGATTTTTTTTTCAAATTTCAGACCACAATGCTCAATGATATACAGGAGAAGTGCCATAGCTATGACGAATCAGATACATAAAAATCATTGTCTTTTGTTTGTAGTAGTGTTTTCATAAATCATTCGGAAAATGCCTGTATGAAGTCAGGGTTGCGACATTGTTTCCCCATTCGTTCCGTTGGTTGATATAGGTTAACGTTTGATTTTGTCAGACTTCCCATTTTTAATTTATTTTTTTTTTTTTGAGTTCGGTATTTTTAACAATATTTTTTTGCCATGAAATGTTTTACTTTAAACTCATCACAATGAATTACTTATGAAATCTCACTTAAACAGTATCTTAATTTCATGTTGATCGGTTGCTGTACATAGATATACATGTAAAGATGTATTGATCAATAAGAATTAGATAAGAAGTTAGCGAATGATAAAAGGTTATACCTTTTTGTAAAAATTAAAAGTGCTGGTAATCAAAATTTGACAAATACAATGCAGAAATGTTGTTTCTATGGAGTCTGTGTATTATCAGAATGATGCTATAAATATTTCGTCACTAAATGTAGGAAATAAAATTATATTGTAGCACAACTGCCAACAAGGAAAAGGTTGGGCGTGTTGTGTTTGGTGAAGCAAGTGGGGAATCAGCCAATGGACAACTAGAGGTTGCATATACGATTGTGAACAGAATAAATCATGCTGGATTCCCAAATTCGCTAAATGGAGTTGTAGAGCAGACATATACATCGGGAGGTAAAACGTATCATCATTATAACACATTAGATAATTCTGGTCATGACCAAAGATGGACAGCAGCGAAAAAAACAGGTGCAAAAGAGCATGCAGCGTATAATTCCGCAATAACTCAAGCCGGGCATGCACTTTGTGCGACAAAGTCTGATCCTATGAGTTGCGGCCCGGTCAATTTTTGTGCCATAAATCCGTGTGCCTCTACGAACAGTAATACGTATTGGTGTGTGACCGAGAAAAAACAGATCGGATCTCATTGGTTTACCTGCATCAAGAAAAAAACAGGAAAATGCTGAACTTTGAAACTTAAAATTTTAAATGTGAGATAAGTAAGAAAAAAAAAACAAACAAAAACTGATCTCACGCAAAGCCATGCATTTATCATTGATCATTATGAAGATGATCACATATCACTTTCTATGTAAATCAGATATCAATATATTTGTTTAATAAAAAAGGTTTATTCTGCGTTTTTGTTTTATAATTACTAGTTTTGCTATTCCCTTGCCATTTAGAGACATGTTGGTTTTTCCGCTTGGATGGTTTTACCCTAGTAATTTTTGGGGCCCTTTATAGCTTGCTGTTCGGTGTGAGCCAAGGCTCTGTGTTGAAGACCGTACTTTGACCTATAATGGTTTACTTTTATAAATTTTGACTTGGATGGAAAGTTGTCTCATTGGCACTTATACCACATCTATTTATATCTAATTGTTACATAACTTATACTGTTTTTCATTATCTGACTTATCTCAAGTACGTATATTACATTTTGACTGGTCAAAGGTAATTTCTTATAGGTTTTATGACTGTTCCAACCGTTCATTGGACAAACATTAAGTTTACCTTAAAAGCAAATTTGGTTGGTCCAATGACTTTTAATTCGGGATGACGTTTACTTCTTAACCATTCTCCTTGTGTGCAAACATCTCACATGCATATATTAATTTTTGACTGATCAAGTTAATTACCTTACAGGTTTTATGACTGCATAAACCGTCCCTTGGACAAAAGTCAAGTTTTGCCTTAAAATCATATTTGTTTGGTCCTATAACTGTTTTTATTTGGTTTCTTTTTTAGTCTTGTTTGTTTTGTTTTGTTTTGTTTGTTTCTATTATTTATATCTGAGTACTGTTAAAAACTGATAAAATGCAACATCTACTTCTTTTTCGTTTTTTGAATCGACCAGTAAAATCGTTATATTCCTTTAAAATCACTGCCAAGTCATATTTCGGATTTCCGTTGAAATCACTGCCAAGTCATATCTTGGATTGGCTTTTAAAAAACCTTTCTGCAGCAAACGATTATTAATAAAACCTTCAAGAGGGGTAATTTTAAAATTTCTATACGATAAAGTACGAGAAAAACGTCTTTAGATTTCTCGAATATCATAAAATATAAAAATAGTACAATACCAGATCATAGCGCTGACTATTAGTCTATAGTGGTACCTACGAGGATTTGTATTCGATCATGATAAGTAGTAATTTTAACCCAGTGGTGGCTTTACAATATGAATAGAAAAACAAATCTTATTTGATCCATCGTATTTACATTTCGGAAACTTATTTCTGGTCTGTAGTGATTAAAACTGAGTCAGTTTTATTTGGTTTAACAAACCACATTGGGTTGTATTTCACCGTATACAACGCATTTTGTATAAGTCAGTTTATCTTTGATCAAGATAAAATAGATAAAATAGTTATGACAATGCTCTGGCTCTTTCTCTGGTATTTTGAATATTGTCATAGATATATGAACATTATGAATATGTCATTATTAGTGTTCTAGTAACCCTGTTCTTCGAACCTTGATTTGATGACAATAACAGAGTGTCCAGCCTTCTTGAATTATTTTTTGTCCAATCACAGATTTTCAGATGAATTGACTTAAGTAGGGTAAACAAAAGAGCAACCTAAATTCCGGAATGTAAATACTACCGTGCCACATTGAGCACACCTGCTGAAAGACTCGTATTGTATGAACAAGTCTTATATACGGAAAATGACAATAAAGTATTTATACATCCCTGGCTTTCCAATGTTAAGATTTATGCATTTCTGATAAAGGTAACCCGAGAAATGCACTTTGGACGCTCGAAATGTATAAAGTTTTTTTTTTTCACTTGCAAGTATTAATCACCAATTCTGAACACGTATGATCATTACAGGGAATTTTTAATTAGATATAAGAAGATGTGGTATGAGTGCCAATGAGACAACTCTCCATCCAAGTCAAAATTTATAAAAGTAAACCATTATAGGTCACAGTACGGTCTTCAACACGGAGCCTTGGCTCACACCGAACAGTAAGCTAAAAAGGGCCCCAAAAAATTACTAGTGTAAAACCATTCAAACGGGAAAACCAACGGTCTAATCTATATAAAAAACGAGAAACACTTATGAACCACATCAACAAACGACAACTACTGAACATCAGATTTCTGACTTTGGACAGGTGCAAACAAATGCAGCGGGTTTAAACGTTTTAATGGTACCAAACCTTCACCCTTTTTCTGAAACAATAGTGTAACATCACAACATAGAAAGACACACTATAAAATATCAACTGAAATAGCTTAACTCAATCAAAGGACATATTAACACCATTGAACATACACTGAACAAATAAATTTGACCTATGACACAATGTAAATACAAAATAAATAAACTAAGGGAAGAATAATAAAAGTAACATATTATATCAGTAAGAAATGTTAAACAATTAAAGAAAAACAGTATGCTCGAACAAAAATACCATCCATTTGCAATAACTTTAAACACAGGTAAATGAAAATAATTTTGTTGTTAGGTATACGTGTACAGTACCAATAGAGAAAGGAAATACTTTTACAAAATAAATAATTTTGATGTTCATAGTACGAAGTAAAAATTTAAAGTTATTCCAAACACTTATCAAAGCTGGTATATAGACCAGATATAACCCTGAATAACATTAAATAACAAAAAAGCAATACAATTAGTATCAACAGGTCAAATAAACAAGAAAGTACGATTTGAGAGTACTCGCAGTTACTGACAGCTAGTAAAAAGCCAAAACAATTAATAATAAAAAATCATGCATCAGAGACTAAAATCAACTAAAACACATCCCAGGGATTTAGTCTTTTAACGTCATGGACAGTCAAAGAAGACATGACTAGTGCAATGCCAAACATAAATGTATCGACAGACAGTAGGATAGTTAGGAGTTTAACCTCTTTATAGATCTAAACGAACGTGAGTGTGTCTTTATACATCCCACTTGAAAAAAATACAAATTTAGTTGTGTTTTAATTTGCTGATGACAAAATCGATATTAGTGCCAATGTAAACTATATTCAAAGATCTAATTACCATATTGGTAAGATAACCTTTACTAATGAGCCTGTTTAAAGGTTCGATGAGTTTACACGGATCACATAGTGATTTCCGCGCTTTATGTACAATATTACCGTAAAATTTAGGATGTGAAATACCGTTTTTAATCAGTTTTCTACAAGTACAGCCGAATTTACTAATCAAATCTTTGTATCTATGAAAGAACTTAGCAAAAGTTTTACGTAATTTATGGTAACGATATCCTTGATTTAATAATTTACCAGTGATGCATTGATTACGTTCGTTAAAATCTATGACATCACTACACACACGGGCATAACGAACGAGTTGGGATATATATACACCGTATGATGGAGCCAAAGGAACATCGCCGTCTAAAAAAGGAAAATTAACAATAGGGAATGAAAAATCGTCTCTTTTGTCGTAAATTTTCGTATGGAGTTTTCCTTTAGAGATTGAAATGTCCAAATCCAGAAAAGGACAACTACTGCTGTTTATGTTAGATTTAGTTAAAGTAAGTTCTATTGTGTAAATTTCGGTAGTATATTTAGAGAACTCTGGATTATTTAACGAAAAAATATCATCTAGATAACGGAAGGTATTGTTGAATGTATCTACCAAATGTAACAATGACGTGTCTTTACTGAGTTTGGTCATAAACTGAGATTCATAGCAATACAGGAATAAATCTGCTATTAAAGGGGCGCAGTTAGTGTCCATAGGAATACCTACTACCTGTCGATACATTCTATCGCCGAAACGTACATATATGTTGTCCAGGAGAAAATTTAAAGCTTCAATCATATCTTCACATTTCCAGTAAGTGTATCTAGCATACTTTCCTTTTTCGTTACAGAAAAAGGCTTTAAACGAGTTACAGCAAATAAATTTGTAATGAGATTTTTCAAAAGACCATTTAACTAAATATGAAATCTTTTTCTTGATAAGATTGAGTGGAAGTGTAGTATAGAGAGTAGAAAAATCATAACTGTCAACAGAATTAAAAGGACCATCAAAAGCATGTATTTTATCTAAAACCTCTAAAGAATTTTTAACACTCCAAAAATAATTAATACCATTATTTTCATAAGCTTTATTACAAAAGTTAATAACAAGTTCTTTGATAGTAGTAAGGGAGGTAGTTAGAAGCACTGATAGATTAGTAGTAGAACACTTACTAGATGCGGAGATGAAACGGAATTTAAATGGTTTTTTTTTGTGCAATTTAGGTAACCAGTACATAGTAGGGAATTTCAAATGTTCGGAAGAGGCCTTAAGCTGGGTAGTGGCAGTGATATGCTTGTTTACAATTTGACACTCTGTGGAGCGTACGGACCTGAATGTAGATGAATTTGTAATTTCGTTTTGGAGAACTTCAGTGTAGTATATGCGTCACACCACCACTACATTGTTTGCTGCTTTGTCTGCCGGTACGAACACAAACCACTTTGCGAGTACTTGGAGTTTATTTTTTTTCACGTTTACACCAATTTTTACAGTAGACAGACAGAGCGTCTTTAATGATCTGACGACACTGTTTCCAATCTGTTTTAGATGGAGGACGATATTTCGGTCCTTTCTTAAGAAAAGTTATGACCTCACGGTCCTCGACGATGTTGAGGTCTCCTGTAAGGACATGACCATAGGGAACATATCTAAAACTAGATGTTTCACAATCTCAAGTGGAAGGAACATTATTTTCCATATTGACGTCTGATGTAACTGACGTATAATTAAAAATCAAACTTCTGCTGGGTTTTTTATAAGAATACGAAATAATAGGTGGTTCTATATTATCAAAATATGGAGGTATTTGGCTTTGGATGGTAGAGTCATTGAAAATACTAGATAAGTTAATAAAATCAATACCTCTATTTATATATTTTAATTTAAGAAAACGCCGTTTATGATTTTCAGGTTTATCGATACTAGGAAATAGCCTATGATGACAAAAGGCTGTAATAATACGGGTGTATTCATACATTGGGCTAAAAAAAGAAATTGTATCACACTCCAGAAAAATAGCATATAATTTACTTATTGGTATCTGACCCAGTTTGCATAATACTTGATGTCTGCCATTATTTTTTATTATAGATAACAGATCAGCAAGTGTATAATTTATACGAT